GTATCTCATTTTTCGAGTAAGTGAATACAATCCGCTACGGCGTTTTGACACAAAACGACATATGGAACAGATATCTGGGGGAAATGTTTTCTGAGTGCTTTAATAGAATATAAAGGTTTATGTTTGCATAAGCTGAGCAGCAGTAAGATTCACTTTTATAACCTTTCCGGATCCGTAACCTTTACAACACAGGTAACAATTAGCACCTGGATATATGAATTCAAACTTGTTTAGATTAGCCCGTTGGATTCTGCAGGCACTGTTTATGGTTTTGGCTCACAACCCCACAATTCACGAATATATTCCGAACAGAAACGCAAACATATTATACATTAGTGACGAATTCAATTGAAGACAGAGCACCTATCTAGTGTTTTTTGTCAATCATTGTACAAATCGTTTCGATCACAAATCCAGCATATCAAAAATGTGGGAAGGAGTGAAACTTACGCCCAAACCAAAACCTTACGTATCAACCCTTGTTAGTGTAAAATCGATCCTACTGCAAACAACATTCTATCAATTCCATCAATTGATTTCAATTAATCCTATTTTTCGCTTGTTGATAGTAATACAACTTTTCTATTTTGAAGGTAATTCTTACCAGTACTCACTTTCCGACTTCAATACAAATGTCTTTGAAATAATTTCTGCCGAATGTGATCCAGACACCGAATACCAGGAACCAGTAGGTTGTCTCAAAAAGATTCTGATCATGAATTGCCTCTTTAGTTGGATCCACGGGACGATACATAATTCGGTGCTTAGCTGCGTAAATTTGACGCTCCAAGAGAATGAATTGTGCATAGGCCGCGGCCAGTTCGCGCCGAATTACGATTATTTGCTTCTGACGATGATGCTGTGCCTCAACTTGCAATTTGTTGGGAATACTTTGTGAAGCACATAATGCATTTCTTAACCAAGATATTCAACTTACAGTCTGCTGCTTGATAATCTTTTGTTGAATTCCAGTATTTTGAAATACGTATCAAAATATTGAATGAATTTTAAGAAGAGATTATCCATCTCTATAGATCTGCAAATAGCTCAACTTAATAATAGTTCACACTGACTTCATAAGCACCATAAAACTTTGTGAATAATGAAGTTGCATACCAGATTTTTTGAGTCGAACGAATGTCACTTCTGGAAATTCAATTTTTTCTCAGTTAATCCAAAACTAGGTAACCAACCTTTGATATCTTCTATGGTCACCATGGCATTTTTATCGGGCCTTGTATTCTGTGATGTTTGACCTTTACGCTTGCTTGTTTCAATATAAATAGCACTGCCTCCCAATCGAGAATGCTTACCTTTGATTTTTGGCTGAACCTACAGACTTTGTCTTGGTAATCCCAGTTTTGTCACTTGTAGAAGTTCTTTTAAAGATTATAGTCGCTTCTTCATCATTCCATTCGTATTTGCCAGTAACTGGCTATGATGAATATCATGATTATATTGGAAGTGATTGTAGAACTTACACAACTAAACGAAAAATTTTCGGGTTCTTCTAAGGCCATTATTTCCTGAAAAGCATACCTATTTAAATTATCAGAGAATTCAGATATTCATCCAATACTACAGCAATATTTATGCATCTCTCTCTGTTTCTGTGAACAAAGAAACCTAATACTGATTCACTTTAAAATATCTCATTAAGTTGTACGACGCTGGTTTAGATTATCTATTTACGCAGTCCAGATGTGACTCCAAACGTCCCATCACTTATCTTTCTGTTCTCTGATGCAAATTTATTCTGATTCTTATTTCCTGCCTTGAAAGTGAGACCAGCGTTTTCCGGTTGAACAGACTTGTCTGGTATCGTGGAGACGACCCCGGGTCAATGTGGTTATCGCAACATGTGATATGCTTTACTTCGTCCAAGTGCTCCTCTGAGATTTATTTTCAATTCAAGTCAGTATAAGTATCATGCATCTATGTTGGGTGCATTTTCCAGCTTTCTACATCGTTTTATCGCGAAAGTTCTGTACAAAATTGAAGTTGAGGAATAAAAATCGTGAAATCTAAGATTAATAAAGCAAGTAAACGCGCGAACTGCCTTAGTTACTTTCAGCGGGTCGACAAGGGGACGCTTTAACTATTGAAATATAGACGTGCGGTAACAAGAAGTACATGAACATAAAACTTTTAAACTAACGTTTGTGAACATTGATCTATACGGTTCATTGTGTAAAGGATGCGAAATGTCTGTAGGTACAGAAGAGGCCAATTATTTAGATGGCCCAACGTGCCTGGTAACGAAGTTATACACAAGAATCATTCTAGGAAGCTAATTTAAGGATCTCGGGAGATTAATATCCTCCACAAGTGGAACATGAAAAATAGCTAGTGAGCAATATAACCGGTGGTTGATAATACAAGCTTTCATAAACTTTAGGACTAGCTTATTAGATAAAGTAGGACATTTTTAGTCTCGTGGAGAAAGATTATACCTTTTTAACCTTACAGAAGGTAGCGTGGATATGCGCAGATCATAAGTTATCAGTTGAAAAAACCTGGATATTCCACAAGGAAGGAACTGGATATTGGTTGTTCCTGGATAAAGAGAGAGGGAAAGTCGGTTCTTAGAGTCCGGTATAGTTCTGCGATTTGTAATGAAAAAATCCACCATGACATTTGGAGGTGTTCAGAATGAGAGAACAAGATGTGCACCGCCTAAAGACTGCACAGTGTCTCCTTGTAGATATCAGGGGATTCTTTGGGGATATGAAAACTTACATACAACAATACACCGTTGGTGTATTTAAATCCAATAATATAGAAGGAAAGGGAAAGAATGGCACCTTATAGCAGCCCTGAGTTGACGGGTAGAGAAGCCATAAATTTACCACGGTACCGTGAAATAGGCACTATCAGACAAATGGTCACGTAAGGTTTGGCAAAGCCTTCATTGACTCTGTTTTCTGAAAGCACATTGGAAAAAGTGTGTCTGACGAGACAGTTATTCTTAGTCAGGTACACGGCCTTACACTTTATCTTCAGTACAGAGGCGGTGTTGTCTACGTCGACGGCTGGGGATGCTGGCTCAACGACTATCCCACTGTGGTATGTTTGCGCAGGCCGACGCTCAGTGGAAGCGGTGACGAGATGGAATACGAATAACCTAGGCTCCAAACTGGAGTTTGTAAGACTATCTTGTGTGATACCCCCCTCCGCAACTCAGGGCGATGGAATCAACAGAAATCTGAACTACTGACGGGTACAATTCCGTTGTGCATTTCAAAACGCAATACATGATGTCATAAAAAAAACAATTCATGCGATTTCAAATTACCATTTTTAATGTGTCATGCATCAAGGCGAAATCAATTACTGAGTACTGTATATATACAGTTTTTTGATGTTTCAGAACTTATATGCTCTGACCTTAACGGTTTTCTGTTCTGTATATTAGCTTTTGGCTTCTCGAAGAAGAGTGATCCCTCCAATATCTGACTTCCCATCTTAAAGTCAGGTGAATTTACCTNCTTGTTCTCACCACCTCCCTAAAGGGCAAAACCTATTAAAAGAAAATTGAAAATAACAAAGTTCCAAGATCATCCAAATCAAGTCAAGTGAACAACCTGCTATGCTGTCTCAATGGAAGATGATCACTCAGCTACTAAATAATCACTATTCAGTAGTTGAAGTTATAAGATCAAAACAAATGGAAGTAAATTAACAAGATGCTATCATAAGTTTAGACCGATTCCCGGGATTGGAAAGCCATTCTATTGAAATGGAAATCAAAAGATGGCTCAAAAATAGGTCGGACAAATTCACTACCCGAAAAAATCGTGAAAACGCTACAGTTTGAGCTCTGCCACCACCACCCAAATTTGGTGGTAGGCAGCTCTGCTGTCGTCCGGTTCAAAACCACGCCTAACCTATCGGGGCCTTATATTGTTCGCCACTCCTAGTCCCGGGGCTTAGGTTGCCGGTTTCCACCACTGAACAGCAGGTCCTCGTGACTATTGGGTTTTTCCCATTTGCTTATCCTCACACTTAGGTAATAAAAAAATTTGTTCTGTAAAATTTTTATACAATGATTCTGTAATGAATTTTTTTATTTAAACCTACGCCTTTTATTTAACAATAAATTGATAGATAAGTCATGGGAAAGGCAGTTAAGGGATTATGAAAATACGGTAATTTGTACACTTGGTATTGGGAAATATAAAGCAACAAAAATTAGGTTAAAAGTGTAGCTAATGAATGGTGGGCAAATTGCAGACGAGTCAGCTACAAATAAGCTACAAGAACGTCGCGGTAGATCAATGTAGCTGACGAATAGAGCGCTATTCGCTGACTGGTATTCTTGGCTAGCCTGTGCGGCGGGATGTCCCCGTGCACGGATGCACCGGATAGCCGCAAGTGGGCCGAGTCTCGGTGTGGGCTGGAACCGTCGACAGACAGGATCCTGTCTATCCAGTCAGTATGAGCGCCACCGAAAACGTACCGTTTCTTCACCGAATAGTACCTATTGAACCCGATTAGGGACTGTAGATGACTCTCAAAACACTTTCGGCAGCAATCCACCGTACTTTCGGAATTTTTTCTGAACGGAAAAACCACTATCCATCGTTCATTTAATAACAATTAGTCGCACTACTGTTTGCACACCTGCACCCTAAACGCCCGAAACTAGACAACTTAACTTGACTCAGAAACGCATTCGCAAATGTTTCTCAGACCTTTTCACCCTATTAATTGCTCCACCCGATATCTTCTAATCTAATCGCGTAATTTTTCTAAAAATCCCGATCCATTATACCTTAGAGTCCCATATGTAATAATCCGAAATATGCAACCCTTGGGCCATTTCGTTACGAACGACATCCCGCATCTATATTTGCCGAATAACCCCAAACTATAAACGAGTAAGAAGTAACGACGAATTGGAACGAACATATATTAATGAATAACGTAGGTTTTACAAATCGTTCTCATCCGAAAGATCTCTATGCGTTCTTCCAATGCCATTTGTAAAACAAAAAATGATTGAAGCTGTTTTAATACTTATCGGAATGAATCTGACAAATAACCGTGCTAAAAAGATGAACATTATTCGGAGATGTATAATAATAGATTCTAAAAACTATACTTTCTGTGCCTAGTATTATGCATGGGCTATGAATATTAACAACTATTGTCGGAACAATATGTGAATCTAAAATCACAAGTTGGTAGAGATGCATCATAATAGTTAACGAAAGCTAGAGACAACAAACCAATAATGAAACCCAAAACACGAAATTACGTTATCGTTGCGTTCCTTAAAGCACAGTTTGACGGTGTTACCGTTAAACACCTATTCGTGGTTGCAGAGAAACTGATTATTGGTTTCATC